ATAGCCCTGACCATCCTAGAATTATGTAGCCCAGGCTGGCCTTGAACTCACTGAGATCCACCTGCCTCCGCCTCTTGAGTGCTGGGATTAAAAGTGTGCGCCACCACACCCAGTCTGACACACCAGTTTTTAAACCAGTATCTCTGACCAAGTGTTGTTCTTGTCGAGATTGTAAATAATGTTTAGGCCAAGAAGGTGGCACACTGCAGCCTCCAAGGTAAATGTGCTCTTTCTGAAGAGAGAATGGCTGTATGGCCCTGGATGCCCCACTCAGAGCAGCCAGGAGTGATGAAACTACCACCTCCCATTGGTGAGGAAGAGGAGCCCATGTCTCCTCACGTCTATCTGTCAGCTCCCACCCAGCACACTCTCGCTGTCAGCTTCCTGTGCAGAGGACTAAACCTCAGTTCTGAAGCTTCCTCTTTTGTTTGTTTGTTTCTTTTGTTTTCTTCTGAGACAGGGTTTCACTGTGTTACAGCCTTGGCTATCCTGGAACTCGCTCTGTAGACCAGGCTGGCCTCAAACTCAGATCCACCTGCCTCTGTCTCCTGAGTGCTGGGATTAAGGTGTGCACCACCACTGTCTGTTCTGAAGCTTCTTGAGCAAAGCTTTTCTTGGTGTTCAGCACTTCTAAAATCTCACCGTGGTTTGCATTCTAAGTTATGTCTAGTTCAAGAATTCAAAGAATGGCTACTACACTAGCAAACACTGAAATACAGTCAGTGCGGCCGGCATCCAATGACAGGGAAAGCTTTCAGGATTAGACCTCAGGAAGGAAGCCTGCTCCAGAAGAAATAAATGCTAGTCTCCTGACTCATGGTTCCCAGAGGAAGGGCCACCCCTCAGCCCCACTTTTCCACAGCCCCTAATAGATATTCCCATCTAACCCACACCATGAGTAACTGAGAAAACAGAAAGAGAATGTTGTCTAAGGTCAGAATCAAGGCTTTGTTTTAGGGCTTCATGTTTATTTAATAATTAATAATTACTACCGAAAATTTATGTCAGAAATAGGACTTCAGCTTCTTGACCCATTACTCGCTTTAATATGTAAATGCCTTTAAGAGCCTGTGAGGGAGCTGGAACGAAAGCTCAGTTAAGTGCTTTGCCACAAAAGTGTAAGGACCTGAGTTCAGTCCTAGCATCCACATAAAAGCCAGTGTTGTTGGGGAATATTATTTTAAGGTTTGTTACTTCTGTTTATGCTGCATTTGTTTAACTCTGTGAAGCTGTGTTACTGTGCCTGTCTAAAACACCTGATGGTCTAATAAAGAGCAGAATGGCCAATAGCGAGGCAGGAGAGAGGATAGGTGGGGCTGGCAGGCAGAAAGAAAATATAGAGGGAGAAATCTGGGAGAACGAAAAAAAAAAAAAGTAACCAGAGAAGAACTCCAGGAGCCAGCCACTCAGCTACAGAGCAAACCAAGGAGTAAGAGTAAGATTACAGAAGTAAGACAATGGAAAAAGCCCAGAGGCAAAAGGTGGATGGGATAAGTTAAGGAAAGCAGGCTAGAAACAAGCCAAGCTATGGCTGGGCATTCATAATTAAGAATAAGACTCCTTGTGTGATTTATTTGGGAGCTGACTGGCAGGCTCCCCAAAAGAGCAAAAACATACAAGGCATGGTGGCATAAGTTTTGTAATCCCAGCACTAGAGAGGCAGAGGCTAGGGATTCCTGTGGCTCACTGGCAGGCCAGCCAGCTAACCAAATTACCCAGTTTACATTCGCTATTATTCCCAAATATCCACATTTGAATTATTAAAATAACGTTCAGCCGGGCCATGAGGTGTAAGCTAGGGATATCTCAATTGGTCCAGTGCTGGCTAACGTGGAGTCCTGGGTTTAACCCTAACCCCTCCCATAAACAGGGCATGTGGCATGCACCTGTAATCCTAGCACTGGGAAGTAGAGGTAGGAGGATGAGATGTTCAAGACTATCATCAATGGCTACATAGTGAATTGAAAGGCAGCCTGGGGTAAGGGGGTGGGAGGGTGGGTGGAGGGGTGTGTGTGGCGCCGCCTTTAATTCCAGCACTTTGGAGGCAGAAACAGGTGGATCTCTGTGAGTTTGAGGCCAGCCTGGTCTATAGAGCGAGTTTCAGGATCTGCTCCAAAGCTACACAAAGAAACCCTGTCTCAAAAAAAAAAAAAAAAAAAAAAAAGGCAGCCTGGGATATATGAGACCCTACCTCAAGGAAAACAAAATACAAAAGTGATGATGGTGATAACAATTAATTGGGCATGTGGCACATGCCTATCATAGAGCTTGAGAGACTGATGGAAGAGAGTTCAAGGCCAGCCATAGATACATAGCAACTATCAGGCTAAACAGCAAGACTGTGTCTCGGGGCTGGAGCTATGGCTCAGAGGATAAGAACATGAAGACTTGAAATCAAATCCCCTGAATCTACATAAAAAGTCACATGCGCACATAACACCCCAGCACTGAGGGTGGGAAGGAAGAGAACACGAGGATCCCAGTGGCTTGCTCACCACCATCTGAGCCACAAGCTTAGTGAGACTCTGCCTCAAAAGACTAAGAAGTGAGAGAGCAGAATCCCCGATGTCCTCCTGTGGTTTGCACAGGTGCATGGGCATGCATACTCAGACATACGCACTCCCACCGCATACAAACACACATACTCCAGTAACTTAAAGAGAACAACTGTGTGTGTTGTGCACGTATGTGGGCCCGAAGCTGCTATCTTCAGTCACTCTCGGATTCATTTACTAAGGCAGGATCTCTTGTTGAATCTCCACTGCCTAAGCTAGGCTTATAGGAGCTACCAGGCCTGCACAGCTTTGTCAGAGTTCTGGGGATCATACACAGCCCACACCTTTATCCACGGAGCCACCTCTTCCTCCCACCACTTCTGTAGGACCTAGAGTCAATTCGCACACGACATGCCGCTTACCTCTTCTTTGTTCTCGGACAAAGTCAAGTCAATATAGACAGGTTCATCTGTGACTGTAAAAGACATCACTGCACTCTTCTCTTTGTTTTCTGACCGGACCTGCCTAGATAACAAACCAGCCATTAGGTAAGAGGACAGATTTGCCCAAGCACTATGCAGGTTTATGCACCTCGTCCGTGCCTCTTGCCCACACAAGCCAGAAGAAAAAGGTGTCAGCGTCTCTAAAACTGAAGCTACAAACCTGGCAGCCCTGCAAGAGGAGCAAGTAATCGTAGCTGTTGAACCACCCCTCCAGCCCCCAAACATTTTTGGTTTTATTTCATGCATTTAAATGTCTTCATGTGTGTGCACACGCCCACACATACTTGTATCATACCCAACTTTTTTAAAGTTTTAATTCATTTATTATTTATTTACAGTTTTTTCAAGACAAGAGTTTTTTTGCATAGTCCTGACTGACTGGTCTGGAACTCGCTCTGTAGACCACGCCTGTCTCTGCCTCCAGGGTGCTGGGATTACAGGTCCTTATGTTTGCTTAGCAAGCACTGGTAACCTACACTGTCTCCTCAGACTCAATTCTGTTCACTCTAAGTTCTACATTGATAAAGCTAGATACAAATTAAATGATAAAGAGTAAGTAACGTGATTTAAATGTATGCTTCGGGGCTGGAGAGATGGTTCTGTGGTTAAAGCACTTGCTACTCTTCCAGAGAACCTGGGTTTGATTTGAAGCACCCACATGGTAGCTTACAACCGTCTCAAGGTACAGCCCAAGACCTGACACCCTCTTCTGGCCTCTGAGGGCACTAGGCACACAGGTGGTACACACACCTTCACGTAGACAAAACACTTATATACATAAAATACAAAATTTAAAAAGAAAAATATGCTTCAAATTCAGTTATAACTATCGAGCATTTATTTCCTATTAAACAATTTTATATTTATTTGAGTCTAGAAGATAACTTAATATACAGTAAATGCACAAACACTTTATTAACTTAAAAAATGTACTCTTTGGAGAGAGGAAAGGGTGGAAAATGTATAACTATTTCAAAAAATGTTAGAATTATATAAAAAAAGCATTCCTAAATTCTTAATATCCATTCTAACTTGAACTTATTCTAAGTCAATGTAAATCCAACAGTCAGTACAATAAAGTAAACCAACTTATCATCTATATTGACCCCATAAGCTGTGAGATTCCTACAAAGCAAAGCTGTCTCCCCAACCCCAAAGAGCTACGTACCAGACATTAAGTAACCGGTCATGTACTGCTCCAGACAAGAAATAGAGACCTGTGACCCCGTCAAAAGGCTGGCTCTCCTTAGGTCTGACGGTCGTGAACCTAAGCGATGAGACAGGCGTCGAGTGGCCTGTGAAGTGCTGGAGAAAGGTCAATCTCGTTTAGGATGAGGTGAACACAAAACAGTTCATGCAAAAACGAAAGTCTTTATGCATCCTAAGTAAGCTACGTCACACACATCTTACAACAGTACCCACAGCACAGGAACAGTTAAAATGCATCTAAGCAAAGGGCTACTTGTGCTATATTCCTTTCTCTTCTTAAAAAAAATACACCCAGGGGGTGGAGGGGGGTGGCGGTGCACGCCTTTAATCCCAGCACTCTAGAGGTAGAGGCAGGTGGATCTGAGTTCGAGGCCAGCCTGGTCTACAGAGTGAATTCCAGGACAGCCAGGGCTACACAGTGAAACCATGTCTCAAAAAAAAAAACAAACAAACAAACAAACAAACAAACCACTGAACATTCAAACGAAATTAAGATGCCTCTTCTATTACCCACCCCACCACCAGTTTCTCTCCCTTGTGAACGAAGATTTCCTTAGCTGGATCCTTTTTCCTCTTGGTGGTTTGCCTCCTCACTCCCCCACCACTCCCACGAGCTTTTTGTTTTTCCTTAAAGAGACAGGATCTTGCTGTACAAGCCATGTTGTCCTGGAAGTATGCAACTCAGGCTGACCTCAACTTTGAAATCCTCCTGCCTCAGCCTCCCACATATGGGATCACAGGAACGTACTACCATTTTGGACTTGACCCTACCATTTTTTTAAAGGATGCTTAGGTGCTCAGACACAGCCAAGGAATTGCAGGTCTTCATGGTACTCTCAGAGAGCCGAAACCACAATTTTAGGGCATCATCACAGCACCATAAGTTCAATACCCCCGAGTGCAACTTATTTAAAACTCCTGATAGCAAATTCCCACCACATATACTATAAAGAGACAAAATGCTACTTACACACTAAAAAACACAACTATAATCATTGTATAATGAAGTTTTTTTAATTCAAATTCCACCTGTTTGACTGGTTTTCAAATGTATGTGAGCATGACTAAACTATTTAAGATCAAAAAATTCAGATTTAAAAAATGTTTCCTATTAATTCTATTATTTATTTATTAAAACCATTTTGTGTGTATGGGTGCTTCGCATGCATGTATGTGTGTGTGTGTACCAGGTACACAAAGAGGCCAGAAGAGGATGTCAAATCCCCTGGCCTACAACATGGGTGCTGAGAACTGAACCCAGGTCCTGGGAAAAGCAGAGAGTGCTATCAACCCCTAACCAACAACTCTCCAGTCCTAACTCTATTATTGAAACAAATTATCTGACAACCGGTAACTTCTTTTCCCAACTGAAAAGATCTCTTGTAGCCCAGGCTAGCCTTGCTATACAGCATGAGACTTCTGATCCTCATGCCTTTGCTTTCACTGTGCCCATGTGTACAGGCAAGCATTACCATGTACACTCTAGTAGCTCAGTGCTAGGGATTGAACCCAGGGCTTCATGTATGATAGGCAAGAACTCTACCAATTGAGCTGATATCCAGCCCTGTTAAATCTGTTTACTCTATCTACAAATAAAGAACTTGGGTTTTGTTATTGTTGAGACTGAATCTTATTTTGTTCTCCTGGCCTCTAGAGGCCAGACTTAAGCACTCCTTTACTTCCACCTCCCAGTGGGGACTGCTGGTACACAACCACCACAAAGGCACGCTTGGAGAGTGTGCGTGTGTGCACGCGCAAGTGTGCGTGCGTGCGTGCGTGCGTGCGTGCGTGCGTGTGTGTGTGTGTGTGTGTGTGTGTCTGGAGGGGTGGGGGGGACTGAACCCAAAGCTTTATGCATGGGGGGCAAGCTTTCTACTAATTGAGCTAGGATCCCTATTCATAAAACAATCCTCTATGACGACAACTTCTACATGCTTCCTCTAGAACTGTCATTCTTAGAAACAATGTGATTCACTCACTCTGTAGACTTCTTTGGTCTCCAAAACCCACAGTTTGATTGTTCGGCCAGCCGAGAGTAACATCTTTCCATCTGGGCTGATACACAGGGAACTGACGCTGCTGTTGTCTCCTTTCCATTTGCTGAATGGTGGAGAGAATCAGAACATCATAATCAACAAAGGAAACTTTATTCAGAGCAGAAAATAACAAAACATTATGTCAGACATTAAAAAATACTAAGTAATTGCCTTCCCTAAAATCTTACGTAAGCCCAGACACAGCACTAAGGTAAAGTATCTCTGAAGACAGACCTCCCTTTGGTAAAGACAGGATAAAAATTCCCTCACATGTTAGAATATGGGTGGATAAATACTGTAAAAATGTAATAGAAGGAGCTATCTATCCTGGGACCCATGAGGTAGACTAATCTGCTAGCTGGACTTCCACAAGTGATTCTATCCCCACAAAGATTCCTGTTGTCTCTGACAAGCTCGTCTTTAACTGGCAACACATGGTTTCTCTGCAGCCCCCAAAAGTTATTTCTGTCCTAGATCTTTACGGATGAAATCCAAGAAGCATGAGTCTAATTTTCTGTATATAGCAATGTGGTAATTAATGGGGAATCTGGCTGTTCACATATCAAACTTATATATTATAAACAAGGGATAATGCTTAGAATGTAGCAATAGCTCCTTTGTATCAGTAAGAATGCAAAATGAAAACAAAGGGCATAAACAGGTAATTCATAAAACAGATACTGCTGATAAACAGAAAATACTTGAACTCACTAGTAACCAACCAACAAAGTTCAAAGGCCCTTCCTTTTTCCTACTGGCTTCTAAATGTTTCCTAATTTCTTATCAACTTCCATCATTTTAAGGCTTTTTACAAACTATTCATTCTGTATGTACCAAGCTCAGTAAACTGCCTGCCCCTTGAGTATCAAGACCTCAGTTTAATCCCCAGTACCCACATTAAAAATCATTATAATACAAATTAATTAATTAAAATGAACAACACTGAATAGGCTGAAGCAAGAGGACCCTTGGGGTGCACTGGTCAGCCAGGCTAGCCAAGCTGACAAGTTCCAGGTTCAACGAGAGACCCTGTCTCAAGGAAACACAACAAAACAAAAAAGATAAAGAGTACCCGATGAAGACATTCTGAAATTGACCTCTGGCTTCATCGACATAGACACACACTGCCTTGAGAAACCTGAGGTGCTTCCTGAATCCATCCCCACATGTAGAGGGTAATACCAATGCTCCCCAACCCAGCTGCCAACCACACTCAAAGAAATTGTAACTCTAATTCAGAGAACTCTGCAGTATTACAGATTGCCAAGGCTCAACCTATCAGTCATACTACAGTAGATCTATTTGCACAAGTAAGTTTAAAAAGCACTGGAATACGAATTTAATCCCAGGACTAAGAAAGCAGAGGCAGGGGGATCTCTGTGAGTTCAAGCCAGCCTAATTTAGAGAGTTCCAGGACAGCCAGGGCAGTTACACAAAGAAACCCTGTCTCAAAAAACCTAAAAGAAAAAGAAGCCCCCCCCCCCCACACACACACAGAGTGGCTGAAGAGGTGATCAAGAGCACTGGCTGTTCTGTAGGAGGACCCAAGTTCACTTCCTAGCACCCACATGACAGCTCACAATCAGGGTCTGATGCCCCCTTCTAGCCTCCAAAGGCACTTCGTCCATGTGGTACACAGAGACATACACACAGGTAAAACACCCATACACATAAAATGAACAAAGAATTTTTTTTAAAAAAAGCAAAGCACTAGAGTAGAGCCTTCTCCTTGAGGACTATGACAGGCTGCAGAATAACAATCCGTATAAACTGACACCTTGGAGGCCTTCAGATTTCTATAGAATACCGACAGCTGAAGGACCAAGCACAAACACACCCTAGGATTTCCTCTGCTTTTAAACAATTTCATTTCAAACACCAACAAGAAGCCAAGAATCTTCAGCAATTTGAAGAATGTCTTCAATATGTAAACAGGGACTACATCCAACAATTCAAAACATGCTACCCTCAAAGAGACAATCTAAGGACAAAAGAAAATGTTGAAATCCCACAATATCATATAATGAAATGTAACACAATAAAAATATAAAGAACAAAAACATAAAATAGAAAATCAGAGGAAAAGACCAGAATGTTCCCACCAAGCACCAATGTATTTCCTTAAATACACAGGGACTTGGGCATGCGGTGCACACCTGTAGTTACAGCAACCAGGAGGTAAAGGCAATCAGTTCAGGTTTCTGAACACTTGAAGCCAGCATGGGCTGCAGAAGACCATGTCCCCAGGTGTTCATATTCTCCGTCTCTGAGACACACACACACACACACACACACACACACACACACACACACACACACACACAAAGATATAAGGGCCCAGAACATATCTAAGTGGGGAGAAGTGCAAGCCGCCACATCCAACAGCCTAAATTCAATCCCAGGACCCAGGAGAGCATCAATTCCCAAAGGTTGTCGTCTAGTCTCCACACATATGCCATAATGCACACAGACAATACACAATGAATAAATAAGCAGATAAATAAATCAATGTAACTGCAAAAGGAATTTTGAAAAGAAAAGGCAATAATCTTGGGAGTTGAAAAGACAGCTAGCTCTGAGTTAAGAATGTGTACTATCCTTGCAGAAGACCTGAGTTCAGGTCTTGGCATCCAGCTTTTGAGCTTGCAAAAGCTCAAAACTACAGCTCCAGAGGATCGCACACCCTCTTCTGGCCTGGGGGGGGGGGAATACATGTACTCATGTACACATATTAATACACATACACATAATTAAAGATATAATCTATCTTTTAAAAAGAAAAGAATCCTGAGAGAAAATTCTTTCTAACCTAAAGCTCTTTTCCCACAAATTATCAACTGCTGAGGATAGAATTAAAAACAATGATTAACAAGCAAAATCTCAGCACACACATACACTTTTTTCCTCAGGAAGCTACAAATTCACATGTCCACCAATAAGGAGAGGGAACTGGGATTGGGGAGCAGGCTTCACCATCTAACAAGAGAAAACTTTCTGCAGGCTGATGAACAGAACCCAGGCTGGTAGCTGCTCTGCAAACTATAGAAGGTGGAAGTCCTCTGAGACATAAATAAAATCGATTAAAGGATGCATCTAAATGTCACTGAGCCAAGCTGCACTACTCTAAGAAAATAGGTACACACGAGACCAAAACTTTCAGCAAAAAAATATAAACCTGAAGTTCTGCAAGCCTCAACTGTAACAGTAAGCAGTCATGTTGTTTAAAAAAAAAAACCTGAAGCAAGCTGAGAAACTAATGGAAGAAGGGTGAGAGGAAGGAGAGTAACCCTAAAATTCCAGAGCTCAAAGTTAGTACACAGTGGTAAAAGAACGGTGGAAGGAGCTGGAAACTCAATTCTCTTATGAGACAGCACAGTTTAGTAGGAAAGAGGACAGGCTTTCATCTAACCTATTTCTTATGTACAGCAGGGACACATCCAGGCTCATGAAGTTATGACTAAATACAATGTATGTCTACCATGCTAAACAGTTTCTGTATGAATGACCATGAACTCTCATCCAGAGTACATGTACACTGCAAGCCCCACCCCAGACCACTGTCAAGACTCTCCACGGGTGTCTCTGGCCAGTTACCAGCATGATAAGTGTGAATGCCAGTAAGTTCAATGCAAACACCTGCACCTCCAATCCTTCCTCAGATTTTTAAACCCTCCTTGCGACCATGTACTCTGGGTCTTTCAAGTTCTATGAAAGCTCCCAAATTGGTTTGTCTCTTCAGACCATAATTTTTCTAACTAAAGGATATTTTTATCCTGTGTCATCTATTCTACTGTAGTACACCCACCTCTAAATTAATTACTCACTCCCAAGTTAATCTTTCA